GAGAGAGACGGAGAGAGAGACAGAGAGAGAGACAGAGAGAGAGACAGAGAGAGAGAGACAGAGAGAGAGACAGAGAGAGACAGAGAGAGAGAGAGAGAGACAGAGAGACAGAGAGAGACAGAGAGAGACAGAGAGAGACAGAGAGAGAAATTAGCCTTTTTAGAAAACGGTCGGTATAGGTATTAAGCGACAATGCACGTATTTAAAATGAACGTTAATCCTTCTGTAGTTCAACTAGCCTGTTCAACGTGTTACAATTTCCATCGCTAATGACCTCGCCTTTAGGCCATGTGACTGGAAGCCGGCAGCTAAACAGCAGATATTCTAGGGGCGCGGAAACCTTGAAGATTGGCTGTGCCGCAATATCATTCCTAGCGGTTTTGATACTTTTGAACCTGGCAAGATTGGCTCCATGCGCTCCGCAGATCGGCAAATTTGTAGTTAAGCAGCCCTGAAGGCACCGGCCAAGTTCCTTCGCTGGTCTCGGCCAAATAAGACACAAGGGACCAAACACAGTTTCACATGTTGGAACGTTTCTGATCTTAAGTCTAGAAACGAACGGTTAATGAGACCTGACACGCCGAATTCTGGCCTATAATGGGCTCTAGAAACTGGTCACAGACCAGACGTCATTTTGGTCAGGGTCATGAAATTTTCAGGGTAGGTGCAAACTTTTAATTGCAGATGGCCTGAACTTATCCTGACTCCTGACCGCATGGGCATTTATTTACTTATGGTGAGAAAAATAACTTACGGCACTGAAAGCTTCGCTGCTATCCGCCACTATTAACGCGAGTTATTCAGTGAGGAAAACCAAGGAGAGAGGTTCATTTTATCACCCCTAATAAAAAGGAGGGTTTCCATTAAAAGTAAACGGTAACATCGATAAATACATAACATCTGTATATTTCTCAATTTAAAGGTAGTGTGCCACCTTTGAAAGATTTCCCATTTTATTTTTCCTAGGATAAGAAGCTTCTGTTTTTACCTAATATCGCAAAGAAAATCAAAAATGGGCCTGGAATAGTGCCTTTTTCGCCTAAAAGTTTATCGGTTTTTCGATATGTATAACAACTGTAGTGGGCTGACCTGCAAACAGGCGTCGGCAACAATCGCGAATGCGGCGCACATGTGACAATAAGCAAAGGTCATTATAGAGTTACGACGTACGGGAATGAGTTATCAGCTGTCTAATCGTAGACAACACAATGTCGAGCCTTAAACTGTAAGCCTGTATTGGTATTGTTTCTTTTATTTGGCTGTCGAACATTATTTATGGTTTGAAATATGATTTTATGTAAAATAATTGATATGAAAAAGCCGTCTCTTAAGTTATGACCCCATTCCACCACACGCAAGTGGCAGAAATGACAATGATCAGCTGACGCATTTTTCTTGGCCGAAGTCAGAGCGCGCGGCCCGACGCACCACCACCGCACCACAAGGTATGAGCAGAAGCCACGCCCAAAGCCAGGGCCCCGGTAACGTGAGGTAGCCGAGTCGGGGCAGCGTGCGCTGACCCAAGCCGGGGCCGCAGCTTTGGGCGCGGTCTACCGCATCCCCGCGGGCAGCCCCGGGCTATCACATGACACCGGGAGGACGCGCGGCCCCGGCTTGGGTCAGCGCAAGCTGCCCCGACTCGGCTAACTCACGTTACCGGGGCCCTGGCTTTGGGCGCGGTCTACCGCACCACCTAACAGGCGTGTTCGAACCCGCAGGAGATGATGATGAACGGGTTTATCGAAACTTGATTGGATGAGCATATTGGTAATAGCGATTTCAGTGTGTGCATTTATTGTTCATAGTGGTGTGAAATGTGGTTGGGGTACGACCGACAACCCGTCGGGGCGAATTTCGCACTGGGGTACTCAAAATTTGAAGAATTTAAGACGTTTCCATGAGTTTTGAAGGTATGGATAAGTTCTAAAAATCCGGTTCTCCTTATCTGGGCCATTAACTCCATACGGTCCAGGAAAGCTGGCACACTACCTTTAATATGGTGAGTTCTTTCGTAATGTTAATAAATGCTTATTAGGTAAATAATATTGTAAGTTGACCATGGCACGACATTTCCATTCTATTTTATCCCGTTCGTTCTAGCCCCTCTCGCCTGCCCCCCCCCCCCCCCCCCCCCCCCCCCCCCCCCCCACCACCACTACCACCAGACCGGCTGAGTTGGCTGAGGCGAGGCTGGCTAAGGCGAGCGCCTCCCTCCCTTCATTCCAAACAGCGCCTGGCTGTCGTGACCTCTGGCCTCACCGCCCGAAGGCTCGCCCGCTGTCCAAGGACGCCCTGCGCGGGCCGCAGTGATAGCCTCTGCCGAGCCCCGCCTCTTTCCACCGTTCACCACGCGCTGGATTCATTCATGCCTCTGTGTTTCAGCGTCCTACCCGTTGGGTGGCACCACTGTAGTCATAGGCGACTGCAGGGAAGCCGCGGTCAGAATGCCCCAAACGGCGAATTTTGAGGTTTTCTTTTAATTTCTCCGAAACTAGCCGTCATACATTCAAACCTTTTTCCATGATCATGGGAGGGAGCTATACGAATAAAGCGGTCACATCTTCAGGCCTACAAAGCTGAAGACGAAAAAGATATAGCCGGAAAGGCAAAACCTACGCTTAAAACCCGCGGGACCTGTACGTTCAAAATACCATACCAGGCTGAAATCCCCATCCAATCTCGATTTCGCGAATAGGACTTTTCGTCTCCCCTGAGTAGGTACTCACGCAGCCGATCTCCTGAATCATCTTGAGCAGTTCGTTGCGGTAGACGGTGTCGGAGACGTATTGCCGCTCCAGCAGCTCCCAGTTGATGGCGTTACTCAACACTCCCTGACCGGGAAACGGAAAATGTTACTATTGCTGATTGCATTGAAGTTTGAACACTGCTCATCAGAAGCATTTCTCAGTTCTGCGAGACTGAGATAACGGACGCCAAAAGCAAAATGATATAGGTGTACAAAAGAAGGATAGAAGCATAGAGAATACATACAAATGAATACATATAATACATAGAATGACCAATATATGACTAGATACTAGGGACGTTCCAAAAGTAATGCCTCCTATTTTTTAACTCAAAAAGTTGATGAGATTGGGAGATGGGGGTGGCGTCATTAAAACGAACATACTTTTTTTGTTCTACGTTTATTTTTCTACATAGTCACCACTACTCCCAATGCACTTTTGCCAGCAATGAACGAGAGCCTTGATGGCTGGCTCGTAAAAGTCAGCGCCCGCCGAGGTGGTCCATTTCTTCACGGCGGCAATGACGGCGTCGTTGTCTGGGAAGCGCTGCCCACGTAAGCCGTCCTTAAGAGGCGCGAACAAGTGGAAGTCGGACGGTGCCAGGTCAGGACTATAAGGAGGGTGTGGCAGCATGTCCAGCCGAACTTTGCCAAACATTCTGTGGTCTTCAGACTCGTGTGTGGCCTAGCGTTGTCATATTGCAAACAGAATGTTTCAGTGTGGCCAAATTGGTGTAGCGTTAAGGGGAGGATGTATAAAAAAGTCGTATGAGGATGTCACTATTTTCAAAAAACTCGTCTTCAGTGTCATTTTAGGTGCAGTTTTTACAAGTTATGTGGAAAAAACTATACCTGACGTCAAGGTCTGGTGGAAGGTAAAAAAAATCCAAATATTATCATCAAAGATGTAAAAAGAAAAAATTGCAAGCGCGACAGTACGAGTATGACGGTGCAAATCGTACATCGGAACATTTTTAGTCTTTATTCCTACACTAGGTATGCTTTCACAACAAAAACGTTGTGATGACGTAATTTTAAAATTTCTGAGGATGTCATTATACTTTTCATTGGGGGTGACTTTCCCCGCAACATCACCAATTTGGCCACACTGGAATGTTTCTCTTCTTTTCTGGCCTTACGCGGGCTATCGGGGCCTTCAGTTTTGTCAACGTTTCAACGTAACGGTCAGAGTTTACAGTCGCTCCTGGTTCCAGGAAATCCAAGAGGATGACACATTGCCTGTCCTAGAAGACGGTGCACATCACTTTGCCTGCTGGCGCCCGGTGCGCGGACGTCCGGAGCGTGCTTTGTCTTTGACATCACTTTCACCGCTCTCAAAGCGACGGACCCATCTGCTAACTGTGCTCGCATCCACCGCGTCTGTTCTATAGACCTTCTGCCAACGTCGGTGAATGTCGATGGCTGCATTCCCTTCCCTGTGAAGGAATTCAATGACGCATCTCTGCTCTGACGAGTTTCCGTGACGAACTTCGTTTACCAAGACGTCACGCGGTAAATAGCTGTGATAGAGGAATGAAAATTTAAAGACATGCGAGTTAAGGTTAAGTCATGATACGGTGCAAATTTCAACGCCCTCCGATCATTTGGGGCGGAGTTAAAAAATAGGAGGCATTACTTTGGGAACGACCCTCGTAGAATGATTGACAATACCAGGGTCCAACATCCCGGTCGGCATAGCCCAATTTCTCCCTCGCATCACACACACACACACACACGCACACGCACACGCACACGCACACGCACACGCACACGCACACGCACACGCACACGCACACGCACACGCACACGCACACGCACACACACACACACACACACACACACACACACACATATATATAATATATATGTAACATATATACCATAGCATACGGCAAATGCTTACGCTGGTGAAGACGGCCGACGCTGAGGTCCAGGAGAGACACGGGACCAACGGTATCGGCTTGTGCCACACGGAGGCCGCCAAGGACGCCATCTGCCGGCGACAAAAGTACGTAACTTAGTAGCCGCCATCGGTAAAAGTCGTCTAGAAGACCGCTGGTCGGTACAATTTATGAGGAGAAATCGCTTTAACTACGGTCAAATAGAGCCATATGAGAAAATGAATAAGATTCCAATTATCTGCACACAATGACATGAACATATCTCCAAATGTTCATACTGTGCGTTGGATTCATCTCAGGTTACCTAACATACTATCCATTGGACATCGCTTCCTAGACACTCCCTAATCCCGAATGTGTCCATTGTCCCCGACTCACGAGCTCGCCACGCCACTGTCTCAAAAGTCCACCCCCTCCAACTCACGTGTCCGCCCATAGAGATGCCTGTGATGCCGAGTGGTCCGAGACCGCTGCGCTCTGCCCAGTGGAGCAGCGCCATCGACTCGAGCATCAGACAACCACCCATCACAAACAGGTCGGAGACGCTGCGCAGGCACGAACGGCTGCCGGTGGGGGGGGGGGGGAGGGGAAAGTCAGCAGGGAGAGAGCACAGGATGGCGATGACTGACGTCCGAGCCCTCGATCTGTGGGCCGTGTCCGTCTTAGCGCAATGCATGAGCTCAAGTTGACAATGTTGAGAAAAGGCGGTGCCAAGTTGAAACCGACAGACAACGGCCGAAGTTCTCGCTTCATTTTCCGTTGAATTCCGTTGGATTGAAAGAAATCCTTCGTCTCTATGACGCAAAAAGCATAGACGCGACGTCAAACACGCCAAGTCGCGATAAACACGTAAGCGACAAACTTACACTTGCTCAGCCGGCTTCCGGAGGCCATAATACGGGTTTTCCAGGATTATGGAGCCAATGCCATCCCTGAGCAAAGGCCGCGCCAACAAACTCCGCCTCTTCCAGAAAAACTGCAACCAAATGATAAGATGATGCTGTGAGCTTACTGTGGTAGATAACCAAGGTATCTGATCTATGTTATCTGATCACTGATTGCAGTGTCATTTGATCTCAGGTGAGACGGTATCATTCACCGCTCGATTACTCCACCGGGGGTATCATAGCAAAAGGAACTAACGATTTTGTTAAGCGTATGTTGAAAATACTGAATTTGGTTTAAAACCCGAACTAGCCAGCTTGGCACTCCGGTGCTCACATGGTCACCGGTGCCGGCCAGATGTAAGACGGTGGGTCGCAGTCGGGTCGGCCACTGGTTGGGCAGCACCGCCTGGAAGTATGCCGGTTCAGCCACCTCCGGCAGCAGGTCGGGGCAGTGGCGGCTGAACGGCGACTGGAACTGGCCCTCCAGTAGCGTGTACTCCTGATAGCGCAGCTCCTGTAAAAATTAAGCACAATCAGGTGGAATCTTGATGAATACATAATGGATATTTTGAGACTGGGTTGGGGCATGAATGATAGAATGGCCTGCTACATACCAGCATGGTCTAGAGAGCTTCAATTTCCCATCAAGCTGTTGGCAAAACAATAGACATATATGTGCATTAGGCTGAGAACCTAAAAAGATCAGCATATATATCACCAGAATTGCACTGTAAAGGGGCTCCTCATTGCTAACCTTTGTTATCGTCACAGGATGATCCCGATCCACCAGCTGCATGCACTTCTCTCGGTCACTCATGACCTTGCGGAACTGGAAGAGCCTCTTGAGGCTCTCTGGCTTGCCCCATCCTTTTGTGAAGAACTTTGTAAGAAGGATGGAACGGTAAATTCTGTCTGTTCTGCTTCCAGCCATTTCAGCTTCCTTCCATCTAATGAAATGATGCTTGGCGATCACCCCATCCGATATTCATATGTATGCTGCTTAATCTGCAAATAAAAAAAGCCTGCAAGTCAACTAAAAAAATGACAGTGAGGAAGAGATCTATGGAAAATTAAAGCAATAGGCTACCAACAATATCCACCACAGACCTCTGAATACTGAGGTCTATTATGTTTTACGGCCTTGGGTCTATGTCTATGATGTATTGATTCACACAAAAGTTCAGAAATCATGCAACTATGAATAAATGATTAATTATTTGCATTGTAATTGCCTGTGTCAGATTCTTGTGCGCAGTTGTTGAAATGTCTTTCAATCTTTACAATTTGCTTCAAAAGGATCAAAATGGAACTTTGACCCCTCGGAAACCAAGCTGGGCTCAAGTGGTATTAGGGGGGTCTGCATTTATGCCAAATCATCACTCCGGGTATCTGAAGTTGTTTTTAAGGATTCAACATTCAGAGAGCAGCTTTGGATAGAGATGCCCCTGGCTAGCTCTGACGTCCTTCTACTTGGCTGTATTTATCGAAGCCCCTCTGGTTCTGCCGAAGAAGATCTAAACAAGATTGGATCTCTATTCAAGCAGGCTACCAGCTCTAGATATACGCATGTAATTATTGCAGGCGATTTCAATCTGCCGCAGATCAACTGGCAAGTGGGTCTTTCCTCAGCCCCTCCCTCGCACTGTTCACATGGGTTTGCCGACCTGTTGAACGATGCATTTCTCTACCAGCATGTTGACAAGCCTACCAGATTTAGGCTCGGTGAAACACCCCACACGCTTGATTTAATCTTGTCATCTGAAGAGGCCATGGTTAAGAACTTGGAATATCTGCCTGGCTTGGGGACAAGCGACCACATCATGCTCCAGTTCCAAGTGGCATGCTACTGTCCTCCCACTGAGTCTTTGGAGCGCCACCTCAGTCTCAACAAGGGTAACTTCACACTGCTCAACCAATTAATGTCTGAAGTAGAGTGGCCATCAAGTACGTCTCTAGATACGCACGCCATGTACGATTTTATCAAGGCCAAACTCTTGGAACACTCTACCACTTGCATACCCTTTACCAAGTTAAAACGGAAAAACAAGAATATCTACATTAATGACGAAGCCATTCGGTTAAAGAAGCAAAAACGGACACTGTGGCTGCAGTACATGCAAACCAGAGACACGATCGACTATGCCCGATTCTGTCGTGCGCGCAACAAGCTCCGAACACTCACTCGGAACCTGCGGGCGAATTTCGAGAGACATCTGGCGACGAATCTACGAACGAACGCTAAAGGGTTCTGGCGGTATGCAGGCACTCGACTACGGACCAAGACTAGAGTGGAGGACTTGAAAGCAGAGGACGGAACGATGATTCGTGGGGATCGTGATAAGGCTAACCTGCTCAATCACTTCTTCCACAGTGTGTTCACGACCGAGGACCCCGTTCTGCCGGCACCACCACCTGTTTACCCTGGACCCCCACTGACCAACATTGCAGTGTGGCCAAATTGGTTTAGCGTTAGGGGGAGGATGTATAAAAAAGTCGTATGAGGATGTCACTATTTTCAAAAAAAAAAAAACTCGTCTTCAGTGTCATTTTAGGTGCAGTTTTTACAAGTTATGTGGAAAAACTATACCTGACGTCAAGCTCTGGTGGAAGGTAAAAAAAATCCAAATATTATCATCAAAGATGTAAAAAAAAAAACATTGCAAGCGCGACAGTACGAGTATGACTGTGCGAATCGTACATTGGAACATTTTTAGTCTTTATTCCTACACTAGGTATGCTTTCACAACAAAAATGTTGTGATGATGTAATTTTAAAATTTCTGAGGATGTCATTATACTTTTCATTGGGGGTGACTTTCCCCGCAACATCACCAATTTGGCCACACTGCAACATTGATATCAGCACTGGTGCGGTCAGGGAGAAACTGCTGAACCTAAAGATAGACAGCTCTCAGGGACCGGACGGACTGCATCCTCGCATCCTGCGGGAAACGGCACTGGTTATGGCAGAACCATGGGCGCGTCTCTTCCGTTCTTCATTGAACAACTCCACCTTACCAAGCGACTGGCGCAGGGATGAGATCGTCCCCATCTTTAAGAAGGGAGTGAAGGACAGCCCTGCAAACTACCGACCAGTGACAATGACGGCCGTGCCATGCAAGGTCCTTGAATCATTGGTTCGTGACCAGATGATGATGTTCCTCATCGATACTGATCAGCTGAGCAACCTGCAACATGGCTTCAGACAGAAGAGGTCGTGTTCTACGCAGCTTCTTGAAACTGTTGAAGATTGGACCCGTGCACTGGAGGAAGGAGACCCGGTCGATGCCCTGTACTTGGACTTTAGTAAGGCGTTCAATTCGGTACCCCACCAGCGCCTACTGTTGAAGCTCCAATCTTGTGGTATTGGGGGTCGCCTACTCGAATGGATCAGGGCATTCCTGACTGACCGACAGCAGCGCGTGACAATTAATGGTACAAAGTCGGACTGGGTTTCAGTTACCAGCGGCGTACCACAGGGGACGGTTCTAGGTCCCTTGTTGTTCCTGGTCTTTGTTAATGACTTGCCGGCCTGTGTCTCATCAGGGCTTAAGCTATTCGCAGACGACACAAAACTCTATAGAAGTGTCGGTCAGGCTGCGGATACTGTAACCTTGCAGAGAGACCTCGACGCTCTGCTGAGATGGTCCGAAAACTGGCAACTTCCCTTCAACCAGTCGAAGTGCAAGTCCCTGCACCTGGGTCTTCGAAACGCCAATCATATATACCACATGGGAGACACCCAGTTAGAACAGACTTTGGTGGAAAAGGACCTGGGGGTCAAGATAGACAACCAGCTCAAGTTTCGGGAACAGGCCGCCGCTGTCATAGCCAGAGCGTCGCACATCCTGACTGTCATCCGACGATCTTTCGGAGTCATTGACGAGATTACACTTCCAATGCTCTACCGGACCATGGTTCGCCCCACCTTGATTACGCCAATGTGGTGTGGGGACCTTTCAACCGAGAAGATCAGAAGCGCATTGAGCGTGTACAGCGGAGAGCCACGAGACTGGTTGCCAGCATCCGCCACTTGCCATACGAGGAGACTTCGGAGCCTGGACTTGCCATCGCTCTACTATCGGCGCCGACGGGGCGACATGATATCGGTCTACCAGGTGCTTCGACGGGGAGTGGATGTTGACCCATCCCAATTCTTTACCGCGGCGACAACGACCAGAACTCGAGGACACGAGTGGAAACTGTCCAAACCAAGAGCTGTCTCCAGGGTGCGGCGGAACGCCTTCAGCATACGAGTACTGAACGACTGGAACTCTCTGCCCCCTGCTGTGGTCGATGCGCCCTCTGTCAACAGCTTCAAGGCCAGGCTTGACAAACACTGGGCTCACGCCAAGTACACCTTACACTTCAACGACTGATGCAGTGACACACTGACACATAGCTCGTCACGTCCGGATCCAAGAGGCCGGCCCGAAAGGCCTTCCTAAATTCCGCATACTATAAGTATAAGTAAGTAAGTATAAGTATAAATAAAAGCACTCACGATTATTTAACAATGAATATATGCATGACAGTCACCATCATACAGTATACAAAATCGGAGTTGATAATTACATTACAAGGAAGGCCGAAAATATTTTAGTAATTTACAAACCGCAGAATACTTCTAAAATTTGGTAGCACTTAGAAAGACAAAGAATACGCAGCAGACTCGATATTACGTGTTCACTTGTAGTAAAATTGTACGTTAGTGTCTGCTTTTAGTAAACGTCGACTAATCGTTGCTGCCTATACTGTAAAGGCCGCTCACCAAGAACATATTACGAACACTATTTTTACAATTGAAAACAATGCGAGTTGTGAAAGTGATTGTGATTGCAATTTACAACCTAAAGCAATCACTCCAGTTTTGTCACCTATTTTAACAACGGAGTAATTAACAGTGGCCTGCAGTGGCCTTAATTTTGGCTCGAGAGTTAAGTAGTTAACAAAACACCTGTCATTGGAATGAGGTGAGTCATAGGCGTAGGAACCGGGGGGGCCAGGTGGGCAAGTGCCCACCCACTTTTTGAGGTGGGGGGGCCAACCATGTGTTTTGGCCCCCCCACTTTTTACTCAAGGCCCTCCCGTCTCGAGTTGAGAGGACGTCGTCACCTTCCAGAATAAACAAACTCGGTAAAAATAAGTTCCACGAATCCCCTCGAACGGACTCCAAGGGACCCTAGTGGGTCCAAGGAGGCCCTCTATCCATACTTGTCAGCGGAAGTCTCTGAGACTTATGGCCTGAGGGGCCCTAGTGGATCTGAGGAGGCCCCAATATCCACACTGGTCTGGGGAGGCCCCTGACAATGGCAGTCTGGGAGGCCCCCTAGTCCCTACCCTCACTAGTCAGAGGAGGCCCCTCCAACCTCAATAGTCAGAAAGAGGCCCCTGAGACTGATGGTCTGGGAGGCCCCTCCATCTACACTGTAGTCAGAGGAGGCCCCTGAGACTGATGGTCTGAGAGGCCCTTATAATCACACCAGGCAGAGGAAGCCCATGAGACTGATAAACTGAGAGGCCCTTCTATTCATACTGACCACAGGAGGCCCCTGAGGCTTGTGGTCTGGGAGGTCCCTCTATCCACACTAGTCAGAAGAGTCACCTGAGACTGATGGCTTGTGAAGCTCTTATATTCACACTATAGGCAGAGGAGGCCCCTGAGACTGATGGTCTGAGAGGCCCTCATATTCACACCAGGCAGAAGAGGCCCCTGAGACTGATTGGCTGTGAGGCCCTTCTGTTCATACTGGCCACAGGAGGCCCCTGAAACTGGTGGTCTGGGAGGGCCCTCTATCCACACTAGTCAGAAGAGGCCCTGAGACTGATGGTCAGAGAGGCTCTTATATTCATATGGGCCACAGGAGGCCCCTGAGACTGGTGGTCATAGAGGTCCTATAGTGAATCTGAGGAGGCCCCTCTATCCACACTGTTCTAAGGAGGCCCCCGAGACTGATGGTCTGAGAGGCCCTTTTATTTACACTGGCCACAAAAGCCCCCTGAGATTAATGGTCTGAGAGGCTTCTATTTATACTAACCAGTGGAGGCCCCTGGAATTGATGGTCTAACAGGCCCTTATATTTATACTAGCCAGAGGAGGCCCATGAGACTGATGGTCTGAGAGACCCTTCTATTCATACTGGCCAGAGGAGGCACCTGAGACTGGTGGTTTGAGAGGCCCTACTATTCATAATCGGCAGAGAAGGTCCTTGAAATTGAGGGTCTGAGGGCCCCTCCTATTCATAAGTAGCCAAGAGACGACCCTGAAATTAATGATCTGAGAGGCTCTTCTGTTTATACTAGCCAGAGCAAGCCGCTGAGATTGGTGATCTGAGAGGCCCTTCTATCAATAATTGCCAAAGGAGGCCCCTGAGACTGATAGTGGCCAGAATAGGCCTCCGAGACTGATGGTCTGAGAGGCCCTTCTATTCAAACTAGGCAGAGGAGGCGCCTGAGAATAATAGCCCGAAGAGCCATGTGGCGGCAACTGGCCGTTGAAAAAACTAGGGCCATATTTCGGCTTGTTAGGGCCCCACAGAGCTTATGAGAGCACCTCAAGGGCTCCTAAGTAGACACGCTTATCTCCGTAAGGGTGCCACGCCGGCTTCTGAAGGCTCCTTGTAGGCATCTAAGGGCCCTTTCCGGCCTCTAACGGCTCCACCCGCCCGTGATGGCTTCACACCAGTGTTTATGAGCGCCACACACCGGCGCCTTTGAGGGTCATACCAGTGTCTCTTAAGCTCTTAAGACCCTATATCGGTGGCTCTGGGGGCCCCACACCGGCGCCTCTATGGGCCACACACCTATGCATCTCAAGGCTCTATAGGTGCATCAGAAGGACCCACACCGACACCTCTGAGGGCCCCACACCAGTACCTATCTCTGAGCTCTGAAGGCCCCACACCGGTGACTCTGAGGACTCGCCGGCGCCTGAGAGCACCATGTTGATGTTTAACGGCTTCAAAGGCCACTGAAGGCACCACACAAGCTCTCACTGAGCTCTTATGTCCCATACCGGCGTCCCTGAGGGTCCACATCTGTCGGGCACCCATCGGCGACTCTGGAGGTCCCACACTGACACTGTCGACTCCGAGGGCCCCACCTGCGTCTGAGAGCGTCATGCGGTCTCTAAGAACCACACAGGGCTTCTGAAGGCGCCTGGAAAGCTCTATCGCTTTAGCTCTGATAAGTCTCATGCCGCCTTCTGCATATAAGAGTCTAACGCCGTCGCTTAGGTGATAAGGGCGCCTACATGCGAAAGAGAGTTGATAATTGATATGAATTCATAGGAAAAGGGGCGCCCGCCTGTATGCAAGAGAAGGGCGCCTGCCAGGGTCGTCGCCATGGATTTTTGACTGGGGGATGGGGGACATATCGGCAGACCTAAAAGTTAAAACCCAAAAGTAGGTATTGTCGCCGCACTCTTAGCCCAATACACTATCCGTGTTAAAGGTCGTACAAGCCGGATTTTTTACAGTACACATTTGAAGTCCGATTCAATTTGACACAATTAGGGGCAAAGCCGCTGCTCTTCTTTTAGGGTGTACCAATTGTTGACGCATGCCACCAATCTGAATCTGATACATAATGCATTCATGCCCGTGTAGAAGGAGGGGAGATATTACAGCCACAATCTCTCTTTTTGACTGCTGTAGGAATCAGCGGCGCGAAGCGTCGCGAAAAATGGCAAAAACATTTGTCAAAATACAGCCCTAAAACACAGACTTTGCAAGCCTTGTAGCATGTAAGAGGTCAGAACACCTAAGGTCGTGTCACCGAGTCAAGCAGCCTCTAAGTTTTGTGGTCCTGCATCAACCGTGCAGCTTGTTTCTTAGAAGTTGGAAATTTAGTGTAAGTCTGCACGACTGCGGGGTTGAAGCCGGAGACGGTCGGAGTTGACTATTTTGCAAATAGTCATTTTTAAGCATCCTCAGGTGTTTATTTTGGGGGGATTTGCTCCTCGGATTCCTCAACCGGGAGGACGCGTCTCCCTGTCCCTCCGTTTTCGACGCCCATGGCGCCTGCGATGCCCATACAGCCGCCTGTGATGCTCATAGGGGTGTCTGATTGCGAAAGACGGTATAATGATGCCGACTGGGGTGTCGACATGCAATTGAGGGGCGACTATCAATGCCATAGCGGCTCCTCCGTACTAAAGACGGGGGTCTGCATGCCAAAGAGGAGCGGCTCTGAGGCAGTAAGGGCACCTACATGCAATAGAGGGGCGCCTCCGAGGCCTACATATATGGGCGTCCACATGCAGTAGAGGGGCGCCTATCAATGCCATAGGGGTGCATTCATACGAAACAGGGGCGCCGGCATGGCAAAGAGAGGCGCCTCCAATGTCAATAAAAGAGTGGCGCCTAAGACAAGGGCACATTTTATGCAACAAGGGGCGCCTGTTGGTCATATAGGGATGTCTCCGATGATGACTATAGGGTGCTTATATGCCAAAGAGGGCGCCTATGGAGCTAGGGGAGCCTGGGAAACGAGGAAGACAATTTGTGTAAGGGTTTTCAGGGGTCATGCGCCGTTTGCGACAAATAGATTCTAAAAAAATAGGAGAGGGAAGTAACTTTTAAAAATAGTGCGGACTTTCCGCGCTGTTCGCTTAACCCGGCAGGTGGTGGGCCTACCAGCCACCTTCCGCGCGGTGGGGGGGGGGGGGCACTTTTTTGCCCCCCCCCGTATCTCCGAAACTACTGGACGGATCCGGAAAATTCAAACGGCGTTCGATAGCCCTGTCAAATTTGTGGAGGGAAACCAAATTTCATTGACCTCGGGGTCACCGATGACGTCACAGGTCAGGTCAAAGATAAAATGTTTCACCGTTCACGGGGCTTCTAGGGAAAGCGCTATAACACCGAGTAAAACGCATTTTGTCGAAAATCAGCGATAAGGCGTCAGTTGTCAAGTACATATGTTGCTATTAGAGGTCACTGGTCATACCAGGTCAGGTCACAGGTCAGGTCACCAAAGGTCACCAAGGGTCACCACATGAGCCCAACTTTACTAAGGTTATGTGATGCATGTTTTATGGCCAGTTTTTCATTTCCAACTCAATGGTGTTGGTTATAAGACCATCAGGTACGGTTGAGGTCACTTTCTGGTGGAGGTCAGGTCAAGGTCAGGTCAAAAAAGGTCAAATTTCAAAGTTGATATTTTTGCATAAAATGGGTATCGATTCGATGCAGCTCGTCACGGGGAGTCTAATGGTGGTCTTTGTTTTGCGCTACGAGGTCTGGAATTTGTAAAAATTGAGTTTGAAAATTCGACGTCATCAATTTTGAACAGTTTGTTAGCTATAACTTGGCCAAAAAAAGAGGTATCGATCTCAAATTTGGTATGTAGATAGAAGGCGGTAGGGACTATCGCATATATTCCGGTTTTTTCGAAATTCAAAAAACTTTTTGGATTTTTTGGCTATTATATTCAAAAAATCTATTTTTTGATTTTTGGGGGTCAAAATCCAAAAAATTCGAAAAACTGAAATAGCAGTTTTGTAGCCCTTTTGATTCCACACCTTTTTTGTCAAAAACATTTTTCTGTATCTCTAAAGCTGTAGGCCTGACAGCTCTTCCCGCGAAACCTTTTTTTGGGTCGAAAATGGCAAAAATGACGTCACTCTGACGTCATTAGCGGCCAACCTATCATAGCCTTTGGTAAAATTTTTGGTCACCATGTGCGCTAGCTGCTCCCGGGAGGGTACTGAAAGTTTGGTGACGATCGGCGCAGCGGTTCTCGAGATATATCGAAAAAACTAAAGGGGGGGGGCAAAAAAATGCCCCCCCCCACCGCCTGGAAGGTTAAGCGGTTACGCCCCTGGCCCCTGGGTAGGTACTATTGGTCTCAAGATAAGGGTCCAGGCGGCCTGTAGGTTTGATGCGGTGAATACCCTCACCCTCGCCACAGCTGGAGTGGGGGTAGGGGAGGGGGTGCGTTCGGTCCGAGTCTGACAGCGGGGTCGCTCGCC